GACATTGGAGAGGTACCTAGCAAAAGTTGTGGAAAAACGGCAACGAGACTGGGACAGGCACATACAACCGTTTTTGTTGTCATATCGAAGCGCTGTTCACGAAAGTACATCAGTGACACCAGCTTTCGCAAACTTTGGGAGAGAATTGCGGCTGCCTGCAGACCTGATCACCGGAATACCACCTGATGCCCCACGCAGTATAACCGATTATGCAAATGACTTGCGGAACAAAATGAATGACATTTATGAGCACGTCAGACAGACGGGCCAGCAAACGTCTGAGAAGATGAAAACACGGTATGACCGCAAAATGAACAACAAGGGCTTTGATGAAGGTTCACTAGTGTGGTTACACAATCCAGTTCGCAGCAAAGGGAAATCTCCTAAGCTTCAAGCTAAATGGGACGGACCGTACCGGATTGTGACAAGGATCAATGATGTAACCTACCGGATACAGAAAGGTGCCAGAGGTACTCCTAAGATTGTCCATGTGGATCGACTGGCGCGTTATTATGGGGCCAATAATGCTCGGGACGAGCATGTCTTAGGAGGGGGCAGTGTTACGCGCCACTATTAATGTCTTGTACATGGCAACACTAGTTACACTAGCGCCCCCTAGTGTCGAGTAAATGAAAGTATTGCGCGCCACTATTAATGTCTTGTACATGGCAACACTAGTCACACTAGCGCCCTCTAGTGTCGAGTAGCAGAACTAGGAGAGTCGAGATCCTTCCAGAAATTTCGGGACCGATATGTACTCGAACATTCTAGATGTCGCTACAGTAGAAGGTTCTGGAAACTATCTGAGGCCCTATATAAGACCGGTATAGACCACGACCGGGGCAGTATTGAATTGGCGATACAAGAGAATACTTCGAAGCGAAATAACGGCGAACTGTGTTTTATTATTAGTGTGATTTTTGATTGTAATTAGTGTTGTGTAATTAAAGTGTCAATTTTGGTAATTCAGTCGGCAGTTTTTAATTGTCTCGAACCCGAAGCTCGTAACAATATGTATGATTTTAATAAGTCGGAACCATCAGAAGATAACGAAATAATGTTTAAAATATTAAATAATTTATATCTAAAGCATATTAGGTCTTTACCTATTATTAAATTGCCGTTATTATTTCTATTAATCAAAGTAATCACCCATGCAATCGATGCATCTTTACCAACGCAGTGGCAGTTTATTGATGCCCTTCTTGAAGATATCAGCTGGACGGGAGGCAACAAATTATTCAAAGGCATTTTGTACTGCTGCTCGAATATTGAATTTTTTTCCCGCAAAATCTTATCCAAATTCTGGAAAAAGTAGAAGTCTGTAGACGCAAGGTCTGGTGAGTACAGCGGATGACGGATAGCTTCCAACCCCTGCTCCTGTAACTTGGATACCGTCTGTTGTGCATTATGAGGTCGCACGTTGTCGTGCAGGAACAACGGGGATGAGCGATTGACCAAAGCTGGTTGGAGATTGCGAGCTTCTCCATCATTCTGTTCAGTTCTTTATCTGCAGTAATGCCCACCCCGTTTCGTAAGCTGTAAATGTGACTGCAGACAGGGATGTCTGCACGAATTGCAGACATCCCTCTCTGCAGTCTGTGAACACGTACAGGATCGCCCCTGTGGCGATTCCTTCCAAGGATGATTCGCGAGGCTATTGAAATCAAAAACATCCTAATTTCAATAGAGAAGAGGGCTGGGTACCATCTGCTTGGGATCCTATAATAAATTAAATTTGAATCGCAACCCAAGCATAAGTACAACTGCAAGACTTCAAGATACTATTAGTTCATACTGCGTAGATCGGGACGAAATTGGGACGTCGAACACCTCACCTCAGTACCCCGTACCATGGGGGATGTAACGTGCTCGAAACGTCGCGTCAATACGCGATAAAATCCGTAAAAAATAGTTTTATTTAAATGTGTAGTGTTCGCGTAAATAGGTATAAGAAATCATTACTGATGATACCTTTCAAACCAGCCGTGCTAATATTCCTCGGGAACACGTTATTGAGTATCGGAACAAACTTGTGCCTGAAGTCGAGTTTTTAATAAAGAAAATCTGGGATTGGGGACGACTCTAGTTCAGTTTAAGCTTCAGAAGACACAGGTTTGTAGACATTTCAAATCAATGGCTATTTATAATATTTAAAGTCTAATCGAATCGAGTTTTTTTATTTTATTTTATATATTATTGTAGCCAAGCGCCGCAGAGATATAACCTTCCCCAATAGATCAACATTAAAACAACAATTCGTACATAAATTTTTTCCCTTCTTGGGTCCATATCTATACATATACTAAAATCAGCAAAATTATTGACATACGATGTTTAAATATTAGAGAGTGCAAAAGGAAACTATTTGAATATATTCATAAACTAACTGTAACGAAACTGAACAATTACTTAATGTATCTCATTAAATCTTTTATTCAACTTTACACACACCCACACACACACACGCGCACGCACGCACGCACGCACGCGCACTCGCACACACACACACACACACACACACACACCCTGCGGATTGAGCTGCGCTGGTAGCCCAGCTCAGCTCAGTCCGCAGGCAACGAATCAGTAGCTTGTGCGATGGCATCACTACTAAATACGAACTAATACGCGGCACAAATACAAATCAAATTAACAAATAACAAATACGACTTACTATTTATTAAATTAAATACAAATTACACTACAATTAATCAGCAAAATGCCTCGCTCAAACTACCGACCCTTCGACAATTAATCTACTATAATTATATGCCAACGATAATTATCCGATTACTTGTGATAGCCTTATCTACCTAGTCAGAGTACCTAGCCTTAACAAACTACGGTAAGTACCTAGCCTTAACAAAGCTACGGGCGTTGTACTTCCACCCACCAACAACAAAAAAATATTTATATGTAAATTTTATTACGTACTATTTTTATACTATATATTATATTATTAATATTACGGCCGTGGCGTGATTGGAAATCAATCAGCCGCGCTCCTGCTACCAGAAATGTACACGCCCCTAACTGTCCCGACAAAGTTCGATCCCACAGGGGCCCATAGCTGTGGGCTCGACGAACAACTAAGGACGGGGCCTGGTGGAAATGTTCTATCCTACTACACTTTAAGGGGAAGGCTAGTCGAATAGAGAGTATTTACCTACTAAGGCACTTACCTGCTTTGGAAGCGGAGACTGGTCACCAGGATATGTCAGGCTGAAGGTGTAGTGCATGTAAGTGGTGTTTGTGAGTGTCTGTGTTTAGGTGGCCTGAACCAGATGGCACGATTAAATAAAACTAATTTTACGGATTTTATCGCGTATATTAACTTATTTTTATATTCCCGACGTTTCGGGTGCTTTCCAGCACCCGTGGTCACGGGGGACTGAGGTGTTTGACGTCCTGCTGTCATAGTTAGCCCGGCTACCTTCAGTTTTTTAATATTAAATTTTGGTTCGATTTACGCAGAACGAGCTTACAGTATCTTGAAGTCTAGCAGTGGTATACTTGGGTTTGATTTGATTTTATTAATTATGGGATCCCAAGCAGATGGCAGCACCCATCCATCTTCTCTATTGAAATTAGGATGTTTTTTAATTTCAATAGCCTCGCGAATCATCCTTGGGAGGAATCGGTGTTCTTTTGCGAGGATTTGTGGTCTATCAAATCTAATGTAATGGCGGGGACGATCTTGAACATGTTCACAAACTGCAGACTTCCCGATACGTCGGTGCTTCACGTCAGCTATATGTTCTTTAACGCGGTTTTTTAGAGATCTTTTTGTTTGTTCTATGTACGAGAGACCACATTCACTATCCAGCTTGCACACTCCTGCATCTTGTAGAGGCATATGACACTTGACGGATGGTAAAAATTGACCAATCTTCTTCAGCGGCTTGAAGTATATTTTAATGGAAGCTCGCTTCAAGATGTAGCCAACCTTGTCTGTGACTCCTCTGACATAGGGTAGTACAGCAGGCACACGCTCGACTGTGGCTGGCTTCACTCGGTCACTGTGACATAGGTGCGGGACCCGAAGCTTGTTGTCTTGCAGTACTTGTTCGACGTGCTGAAGCTCGGCGGTCAGATGTTTTCTGTCACAGATCCCTCGTGCTCTCTGAAACAAAGATTTTTGCACGGTAGCTAACTGTGAAGGATGATGGTGCGATTTATCATTTAAATATCGGTTGGTATGTGTATTTTTTCTGTACACAGTATGACCAATAATGATATCAGGATTTCGGATGACTAAAACATTTAGGAAAGCTAAAGTATTGTTTGCCTCTAACTCCATTTTGAATTGTATTTTAGGGTTTATGGAATTAAGGTGGTTTAAAAATGCAGTTACTTTGTCAGATGGTAAAATTGTGAAAGTATCGTCTACGTACCGCTTGTAGAATCTTGGATTTACAGGAGCAGTAAGAAGGGCTTTCTCCTCAAAGTCCTCCATGAATATGTCGGCGACTACGGGAGATACAGGTGAGCCCATTGCCACTCCGTCTACTTGCATGTAGAACTCTTCTTTCCACAATAAGTAGTGGAGCGTTTGGTTTGTGTATTTTCGGTAGATTGTATGGGTTACTGAAAATACACAAACCAAACGCTCCACTACGTTCTATATTTCAAAGTGTTTGTATCTTAGAAATTAAGATTTTCTTTGCTTGAAATAAATTATTATTATTAAAATTGTTTTGGCGGCTCATTGGTGCAGTGGTGGACTCGCAGCGCTGAGGGCCGTGAACTCGAACCCCGCGCGGATTTTGTTTCTTGTGCAATTTATGTTTGTAAACTGCCTTCTAAGATACAGAAGAAAATCCAAGCGTAACGTAATCAAAATAGATTGTCAATGTGAAAAAATTAAGAAATATAAAAATTCGAATAACAAATCATGTAATTTAAATATTTTATTATTTGTTATTATTGAGTTTCCTTATTCTTCTGAATAACAAATTCAGTTCCGTATTCGCGACTATTTTTCATCCGTCATACATTTATTATAAGTCATAGTTTTTTAGCATATCAAATACTAAGGGAAATAGATATATATGGTTATTCTCGGCCCACACGAAGTCCAAATGACTGTATTCAGTTCTATTTATTACGGCATAACGCACCACATTCGGCAGTTTCCGTCTGAGGATCGCGACGTCGTTCGGCCTGCAGACCATGTCGTTCTCAGCAGCTAGCAATACTACCCTCATACCCACTCTACTGTGGTCATACTCTGGCGGTGAACTTGAGTTGTACAAAACCAGGTTCTTCTTTACGCCGTAATCAAAATGCGAAAACCTTTTGGTCCGTGTCACTTGTCCGTAATGAATTAAATTCTTTATGGAGGTGCTGTCAGGGACGTGCCGGAATATTATGGGCCATACAGCAGGCGGGAGCTCCTCAATATCTTTTCCGAAAAATGTAAATATTACTCCCTGAACGCATATCGCATAACCAATTGGTTGATGGCACAAAAACTTCAGCAATTTATAAAACAGCGACCTTTGATTTAGGATCTCAACTATGCCGTGCGATTTGAAATAGGAACCCATTTCAGGAATGAGCTTGACCACTGGACCCCACGGATGTCCCATGTGATGCAGGAATGAGACCGGTGCTAGTGCAATCAATAAATTTACCCTTTCGTTATATTCGGGTCTAGTTGCTCCTAGTACGTAGAAAATACTATTTCCTTGGGAATGACCAATCGCATTCAGTTTCGTCGCACCAGTGTTATTCAAAATAGTGTCGATCAATGCAGGAAGGTCGTGGTAGCCATGCTCGCGGAAACTGAAATCCCAGAAAATGTCATCCAGATCGGGATTTAATGAGACGTGACGCCGGGAGTAATGATTTCCCCTGCAATTGCCCAACCAAATGTCGTGGCCGGTGTTAGCCAAGGCGACAGCCAAAGATTTCTTGCCTTTAATAATCCAAGTGTCTGAAGAGTCTAGAATGCCGTGCATGAGAAGAATTGGTAGTCCCCTTTTACCAGGAATGTGAAAGAGTTTCAAAACGTACCCATCTTGGGTAATAACGTCATGTTCCTCACATGGATGTCCTTGCAATTTTGCTAGCTCGGGGAAATTCATTATTACTTCGTTGGATTCCACTTGGTTTCTCAAGGCATCTGTGAGATTCACTGGTGTAACGAACAGGAAAAAAACAATAAAAATTAATGTTTTCATGTCGATTATCACAATAATTATCGCAATATTACAAAACTGTATCCACACACTTGGTATGGTAAACAAACAATTGTACGCTAATGTACCGCAATGAGTTTACACAAAATGCAGCTAGTACGAAAAAGGTCAGTTAGTAGCAATTTTTAATACTTTCTGCGAGTTGGGAGTAAGTTTCACACTAAATTAATTTATAACGTGGTAACTTTATATACATCACATAAATATCAAATCTATATCATTTACATATTACATAAAAACTAACAAGTATCGAACGTGTTATTGTCAAGTCCGTCTTTTTATTTTGTTATTCATGGCTATAAATTCTAGAACGTCATCTTATCGCATATCATTGCCTATTCATTCAAGCATATTTCTCCGGCCAATTGTTTAATATATAAACTGTGTCCGTGAATTTCAAAATTAGCCTTTCTTACACGTGGTAGAGCCATGCGCAGCTATATTAGTAGTATAGTTATAGCACGAATGGGACGGATCGACTGGGGAAGGACCATGCTCTCACAGAATACCAGCGTAAATTAGCAGTGCAGCAAACACTGCTGTGTTCCGTATGGTGAGTGTAGAGAACCGGAGACCCATTTTACTGAAAAAGAGGCATTCCATCTTAGTCCTCACGGGTGACAACGCATCTGCATTTTGCTTTGCAAACGAGGATAGATGTAGATGTCAATGGGCCACAGCAACCACTTACAGGTGGACTGTGTGCTCGTTTGTCACCCTATCCTATAAAAAAAGCCTTGTTTGTTATGGAGGAAAATAAACTATTAAATACCCACTATAATTTATAAAGCTTGCGTCTATATTGCGATATTAGATCAACATTTTCTAAAAGAAATATCAAAGTTTATTCTAGCCTACTAGAAACCGTGATTCGATCGATTTTCAGCGTTGTCATCTGTCTTTTCTTTTTTAAACTAATAAATTTATTTTAATATTTGTTTGTGTTACTAGTTGTCGTAAATGTTGAGGTTCGATCCCTAGCTAGTCAAGTTATACAGGGGCCGGAGGACATTTAAAAATACAAATTTTAATAATGAAATAATTTTTAATCGCTACAAGAACTCGCTTAAGACTAACTTAATATTCTATACTTAAAAACTAATGCACGAGAGCCCACACAGGAGCTCGGCAGTTTCTGTTTGTCCACTCAGCACACGCGTGTGGTCTACAATCAGAATATTCTGCTGATGCGGACATCTTGGTGGGTCTCGCCACCCTTAACAAGCTTGTGTAGGGAAAACTTCATTAGTTTTACGAAATTGGCCAAGATACAAATAATACTTTATTATTGCACTAACACAATGACAAAAACTGTAAAAATATTGTATTGTCTGCTAAGATTTGCCACTACCTCCCAGCGAAAGAGATAAATATTTATGTATGCACTGCAGGCAAGAATACCATTTAAAATATTTACACATGGACAAATACTGCTTTCTCTAAATTACGAGGGGCGTTCAATGTATTCTAGGTATTAGGGTGATTTGCTAATAATGCGAGTAATTAAAAAAAATTAGCTAACAACACTACCTAAGGGTATAAATATGAAATTTTGTCTTGATAACTACATTACTTCTTATGTAACCTTCAGTTATAGACGACGGGAATGACTGAATAGACAATATTGAAAAAATCGAACATCGTACGGTGATTAAATTCCTCACTAAACAAGGAAAAACTCAAAAAAACTTTCATGAAGAAATGGTGCTCGTTTACCATGACTGCTCCTGCAATGTAACCGTACAGAAGTGGTCAAGTGAATTCAAAAGAGGTACAGCATCGAAATGAGTTCCGCCCGGTTGGGCCAGTCACAGCGGCTACAAAAGAAAATGTGAAAATAATTGAAAAACTTGTATAAGAAGATGCACGAGTAAGAATTAAGATGTTATCAGAAATGACTTAACGTGTCCGTTGGTACCATACACAACATATTGCATAACTATCTCAAACTCACAAAAGTCTGTGCAACATGGGTGCCGCGAATGATCACTGCTCTGAAAAAACAAGCGCGGGTTGATTGTTGTAGGCAGTTTTTAGAGCTGTGTGGTGACGACCCAACAAGTGTTTTCTATGGGATAGTTACAGGAGATGAAACGCGGGTTCACCACTGATGACCCTAAGAGTAAACAGGAGTCTATGCAATGGCATAAAAAGGGACCAGAACTCCTCCTCCCTCCCATCAACGCAGACAAATTCTCGATCACTGTACGCCGTTTGAGAGAAGCAATAAAAGAAAAGAGAAGAGGAAAGCCGACCAAGGGAGTGCTGCTTCTTGATGACAACGCACCGGTTCACACGGCACGTTTCTTCAAGGCTGTTCTACGAGACTGCGGGTTTGAAGAAATTAACCATCCATCATACAGCCCAAATCTAGCCCCTAGTGACTACTTATATTATTCTCAAACTTAAAGAAAGACCTTCGGTGCAAGCGATTTACAAGCGAAGAATATTTTTTACAAGAGAATAGAAAAGCTATATATATATATATATATATATATATATATATATATATATATATATATATATATATATATATATATATATATATATATATATATATATATATATTATATAGCTATATAATAGCTTTTTTCACGTACAAGTAAATGTATTGATGCCATAGGAGACGATATTGAAAAATAAAAAATATTTCATAATTTTATTTTTTTTCTAACATACCTATAATGAAAACACATTGAAAGTCCTTCGTAGATAGCAAAACTAAATCTCAATGGAAATTTTGTCAACTTGTTTTAATGTAACAAATCGACGCAAGGGAGATAATTCAAAAACAAAGCAGTTAGAAGATCAGTGCCATTTAATGATTCAGTAATGTACTCTGTTTCTGTTGAACACTCAAAAACTTCACCAGTTCGTCAGCTCTTAACTTCTATGTGTCCTTTTTTAGGACAAGAAGTTACATTAAAGACTATTGCGAGACTTCTATTGATGTCATACCTGATTCCAAATTAGATGAAAAATTTTATCACTCAAGAAATCTCTTTAATCGTGTAATCACTTGAAATCATTAACCAAAAACGATATTGATGACGTTAACAATATTCATGCCTGGTGTTCTCATAATAAAATGTTTTTTTTTTATAGGATAAGGGTGACAAACGAGCACACAGTCCACCTGATGGTAAGTGGTTGCTGCGGCCCATAGACATCTATATCTATCCTCTGTTACAAATCAAAATGTAGACGCGTTGTCACCCGTGAGGACTAAGATGGAATGCCTCATTTCCAGTAAAAAGGGCCTCCGGCCACCTGCACTCACCAAGCGAAACGCAGAGGTAAACCTCTACTTCACGCTGGTTTTCTGTGAGGTCGTGGTACTACCCCGGTTCGAGCCGGCCCATTCGTGCGACAGCAAAAACTGCCGCGTGGCTCTACCACTGTTTAAAATGTATTTAAATGTAGCTAAATCTTTTTCTGTAACTTTCACAACTAAAAAAACTCGATAACAGTAACCATATAATGATCAACCTTTGTTTAAAAGAAATATTACTAAAGATTTGGGCGTTTTCTTTGACTCAAAACTAAATGTTAAGCAACAATTTGGTCACTTAACGCAAAGTAGTTATCAGTTAGTTGGTTTTGTTACACGAGTTATGAAGGAATTCAAAGGACCTATTTAATAATCTAATATATCTCTAGGTCTAATATATCTCTATTTAATGAATGGGCGACAGTAGGAATTTATAAAAGTAGGCGAAGGGTATACGAGCTTTATGATGAAAGATCATATAATAGTAGTGTTATATTTAGAGATTATGTAAAAACATATTCTAAAATATTTAAAAAAGTGTGCTCCACTGCTAAGGCTTTACATTTAAGCAAAAAAATTAAAACTGCATCCGACAAAATTAAAATACCTGGAGAATAATAAATAGTGAAACGGGCAAGGTCAAACCGCGCAACTCGGATTTTCAATCGAATATTAACAATAATTTAACGCGATCTAATCAAGAACTTGCTATGGCTTTTGAGACACATTTTACTGATTTTCCTTTTTTGACAACAAAATCATTAAACTCTTCTCCTACTGTCGCCGAATCATTGCTCAAACAAAATGTAAAGGCTTGTTCAAATACTTTTAAATTCCATAGAGTACTGCCAAAAGATATCGTTAAATATTTTAAAACTATTGATGTTAAGAAAACGGCAGACTTATGGTGGATTTCCGTTAAAGTTATTTTATCTATAATAGATATAATAGCACCTTATCTAGCCGCAATATTTAATATAAGCGTCGAATCTGGTGTGTTTCCTGATTAAATGAAACATAGTAAAGTCATACCTTTATTTAAATCTGGTAGTACATTAGACCCCGCCAATTTTAGACCAATTTCTGTACTAACAACATTTAGTAAAATTTTTGAAGAAATAATTTTAGATCAGATGTTAAGTTTCTTTAATATTAATAAATTGCTACATAAAAATCAATTCGGTTTTACAAGGGGGTGCTCGACAAGTGACGCTGAAGTTGAACTTATTAAACATATTTTTTGTGCATGGGAGAATTCAGAGGATGCTTTGGGTATATTTTGTGACCTTTCCAAGGCCTTTGGCTGTGTTCACCATGAGACATTAATCAGGAAGCTACAGTACTATGGTGTCAAGAACACAGCGCTTAAACTTATTATTTCATATTTAAGTAATAGAAAGCAGAAGGTTATTATCAATGGTAAAAGTTCTTCCGGGTCACCTGTACTAATAGGTGTCCCTCAGGGCTCAATTCTCGGCCCATTCCTGTTTCTGGTGTATATTAATGACTTACCTCACCTTGTAGGGGATAGTCATGATATAGTATTATTTGCTGATGATACTTCCTTGATTTTTAAACTTAAACAATAAAAAGAAAATTATTAGAGTTAGTAATTTGTAAAGTATTCTATCATACTGAATAATAAAACTATTTAATAAATGTTTTGTTTAGTTTGTCTTCACCTATTGTGACAAGTGACAACCCTACCAAA